ATAACAGACCCACAGCCAACATCATTCTAAATGGAGAAAAACTGGAAGCATTCCCATTGAAACCAGGAACCAGACAAGGCTGTCCACTATCTCCACTTCACTTTTAACATAGTACTTGAAACTGTTGCAAGAGGCAATAAGACAAGAGAAGGAAATTAAAGAAGTAATAACTGGAAAAGAAGAGATCAAATTACCCCTTTTTGCAGATGATATGATATTATATCTAAGGGAGCCAAACATTCCACCCCAAAATGCCTAGACATTATTAACACGTTCAGTAAAGTGGCAGGGTAAAAAATTAACCTACAAAAGGCTATAGGCTTTCTATATACCAATAACAAGCAATCAGAGAAAGAGCACATGGAAACACTCCCCTTCACAATAGCTGCAAACGAAATAAAATATCTCAGAGTAAACCTGACCAAAGACATTCAAGAGGAATAAAATATCTCAGAATAAACCTGACCGAAGACATTAAAGAGCTCTACAATCAAAATTTTAAATCTTTAAAGAAAGACATTGAGGAAGACATCAGAGGATAGGAGGACCTCCTATGCCCATGGATTGGAAGAATTAATATTGTGACAATGACCATCCTACCAAAAGTCATTTATAGATTCAACGCAATGCCAATCAAAATCCCCATGACATTTTTCACAGAATTGGAAAAAAACATCCTAAGATTCATATGGAAGCACAAAAGACCTCGGATAGCCAAAACAACCCTGAGCACTAAGAGCAATGCCGGGGGGATTACTATACCAGATTTCAAGCTGTATTATAGAGCTATAGTCATAAAAACAACATGGCTGGCACAAAAATAGATCCACAGACCAATGAAACAAAATTGAAGACCCAAATATGAACAAATGCAATTTCAGCCACCTGATATTTGACAAAGGGGCCAAGAACATTAACTGGAGGAAAGACAGCATGTTCAGCAAATGGTGCTGGCAAAACTGGATCTCCACTTGTAGAAGAATGAAACTAAACCCCTATCTTTCACCCTGCACAATGGAACTAAACTCCTATCTTTCAATTCCGAATGGCTCAAAGACCTCCATGTAAACATGTAAAGCCTGAAACACTGAAACTATTAGAAGAAAACATTGGGGGAAACCTACAAGATATAGACGTAGGAAAGGATTTTCTAAACTGGACATCAATTGCTCAGGAAACAAGGGCAAGAATTAACAAATGGGACCTCATTAAACTAAAAAGCTTCTGTACATCAAAGGAGACAACCAAGGAAGCAAACAGAAAACTCACAGAATGGGAGAAAATCTTCACCAGTGACACATCCGACAGAGATTTAATAACCAGAATATATAACGCACTCAAAAAACAGAGAACCAAGACAAGAAGAAACCCAATGAAAAGATGGACTAAGGAGCTGAACAGAGAGTTCTTAAAAGAAGAAGTAAAGATGGCTATGAAACATCTTAAAAGATGTTCAATATCACTAATAATTAGGGAAATGCAAATTAAAACCACTTTAAGATTTCACCTTACCCCAGTCAGACTGGCTAAGACCAAGAGAACAAATGATACCAAATGTTGGAGAGGATGTGGGGAAAGGGGAACATTCATCCACTGCTGGTGGGGCTTCAAACTGGTTCAACCTCTATGGAAAGCAGTGTGGAGAACTCTTAAAAAACTACAAATGAACCTACCATTTGACCCAGTTATACCACTCCTTGGCATATAACCAAAGAACTCATCCTATTGCAGAGACACTTGTACATCCATGTTTGTTGCTGCTCTTTTCACAATAGCTAAGAGATGGAAGCAACCTAAGTGCCCCTCAGTTGATGAGTGGATAATGAAAATGTGGTTCATTTATACAATGGAGTTTTACTCAGCAGTAAAGAAAGATGAAATCATGAAACTTTCAGTAAATGGATGGAACTAGAAACTGTTATACTAAGTGAAGTAACACAGACTCAGAAAAAAAAATCAATATATGTTCTCCCTCATATGTGGATCCTAGATCCACTCTGATAAATTAGTATGCAACCAGACATAACTACAGGAACCAGGGTAATGGAAAGGAACCAGGGAGGTAAAGGAAAAGAAAGAACCTGAAAGAGAAGAACAGTAGGAAACAGGCCTTAATAAGGGAGATATGGATAAAACTTGGGTTAGTTTAAGGGATGGGGGAGGGAAGGGTATAAAAAATATTTAAAAAGTAAAATAAAAAGAGCTCTTTGAAAAGACTTACTCATTCCTACAACCTAGTGCCCTACATCCTTAACTGTAGTCCTTAAAAATCCCATTTTTGTTCAAGGCTTGCCAAAATTTAGCTATTATACACAAACAAAAAACTTATTCAATATAATTCCACACAGGAAAAAAAGCCATTTGATGATTAATATTTTTGTTTCATCTTAATGAACATATCTATAAAACAGTGACTAAACAAAATTCATATAAATAAGTTTATTGCCAGATTTCCCCCATAGAGTATAGAAATATTTTAAAAACACTGAAAGTTCACAAATTGAGAGCCCAACAGTTAACCATACTTTATAAAAACAAAGTATAAAAGTGACTTAGAAATTTTTCTGAAAAGTGTATCAGCTGACAGCAAAGAAATACAAACCAGATAGTAAATGGCACGAATACAGCACTAAGGTTCGCAGTCATCACCCAGAACTCATTATCTGAGTTATAAAATAGGTTATAAAATGTTTTACAAGCTACACATTCCATTTCTTTCTGAACTATCTAGTCTTGATCCTGCCTTGCTTTGATAACGAAAGAGCTAGATCTTTACTGCTACAGAGACAAAATACTATAAATGAATTGGAGAATAAGAAGGGGTCATCCTTCTCTCCCAGTACCTGAACAAGTGAACAGTTAGTACAGAAATTGCTTTGGCACTTTAACCCTAAATGCTGTCTTAAACCTTGTTATTTGAATATTGTAGTTTCACATGATTGTTTCAATACCACACCACTGCTATATGTTTTATGTACATGATATATAATAGTAAAATTCCTTCATTCTGAAATAATACAGCTTGGCTCTAAAGTAAATGTTTCATCATTTCACTCATAGTTTTCTTCTTGATTCTTAACCCATACAGTTAATTTGTTGTGTTGTTGTTAAGCTATCTTCTGAGATTGACTTAAGGCTCTATTTTAATATTAACAGTTAGTCATAATAGGAATCTCTTGATAATGAAATCACACACCAATGAGTCTCTCTTTTGGAGTTGTTTCTCCTTGTTGAACAGATGTAGTATCTTGCCTGGGTAGCCCATAGAGATATATGGAGACACATACCAGAAGGGCTCCTAGTGCAAATGTGAGTGCTGAAAAGAAGAAAAAAAAAAGTTTAACCTATATTTTTTTCTTTAAAACTCATAAAAATAATACATTTTAAAACTTTTTTTGCACATTTGTACCTGTTCATATATGTGAGGGTGCATGTGTGTGCATCTAGAGGTCAAAGGACAAGCCTAAGTGCCATCCTCAGGAATGTCACCCACCTCCTTTTAGACAGGGTCTCTCATTTGCTTGGAGCTCACCAATTAGGCTAGACTGGCTAGCCAGCAAGCCCAGGGATCTTCCTGTCTCCACACCCCCAACCCTGCAATTACAAACATATACCACCAAACAGGGCTTTTTAATGTGGGTTCCAGGAGTCAAATTCAGTTCCTCATGTTTGTAAGGCAAGTACTTTACCAACTAGGCCACCTCCCTGGCCCTATAAACATTTTAACTGGAGGTTGCACTGGGCACAGGCCACATGAGTAATAAATAAAGCTAGATGTTTGATGCTGAAGTTTAGAAAGGTCATCCATTATAAGCAAAAAGAACAAGGTTGGAGGGAAGTAAAATCAAGGGAGTGACTACACACTTTTCAAGAACACAGTTATGCCTGTGATAGACCACTCTAACAAAGGACATATTGGCTTCCCTATAAAATATGTGATTAAAGAAAATATGTAATTGTAAACAAAGACAATACAGTGGGATATAGCCCCTCTGATCCCAGAAACGTGAAAAGTTTAGTGTAAAAGATAATTGAGCAAAATTCAGTTAATGACCAGTGATTCAAAGCACTGAAAAGTTTTGAATAGGAGATAAGGTGATTAATATATAGATTACATTGCACTGCACATACCTTTTTCAAGTTACTCCTCAAAATTAGGACATAAGGAACTTGAATGGCAGGCGGGCTCAGTCAGTAAAGGGCCTACTGCACAAGCATGAGGACCTGAGTTTGGATCCCCGTAACCCAAGTGAAAGCCAAGGACCATGGCACATGTCTATAACCCAAGGGCTGGGGAAAGAGAGTGAAAGAACAGATGGGTTTCTGGAGCTCACTGGCCAGTCAGTCTAGCCACATCAGTGAGCAACAGATTCAGTGAGAGACTCTTAAGTCAAAAAATAAGCTGAGAGTGACTCAAGAAGACACTCAACATTGACCTCTGACCTACACATGCACACAAACATATACACCAAAAAAGCTTATATAGGATCTCTGTGAGTTCAAGGCCAGCCTGGTCTACATAGTGAGCTCCAGGACAGCTGGGGCTACAGGGAGACCCTGTCTCAAAAAGACCAAAAAAATAAAAATAAACTTTACATGTAGGCATTATATAAATGAGTGGTAATATCAAAGCTATATACTTAAAACTGAATTTTATTCTATATAGAGTACAATGGCAGAGTATTAATAGTTTTAAAAATGGCATGTAGAGGGCTAAGCATGGTGGTGCATGCCTGTAATCCCAAGCAGGAGGATCATGAATTCAAGATGACTAGCTACACAGTTTTAGGCCAGCCTGAGATACATGAGACCCCTATCCCCCACTGCTTTATGCAGTGAAATGGCATAAAGCTATAATTTGAATGCACCTATAACTAGAAAAGACCAGCTTTAAATTCAAGGAGAGGAGGCAGTTTATATCAACATCTTAATAGTTACCTGAAACACTGCTAACAGAAACATTTATATCATTACTAAGTTTTTCTCAAGAGCAAAGACACAATTATATTAAACATAAGGATAGATCAGAACTACAATGAAAAGTTCACCTGTCAGGTGATAAAACATCAAAAAGAAGCCAGGTGTGGTGGTACAACCATGTGCTGGTACATCCCAGCACTCTGGAGACAGAGACAGGCAGATCTCTGTGAGTTCAGGGCCAGCCTGGTCTTCATAGTGAGTTCCAGGCCATTTGGGGCTACAGGGACATCCTGTCTCAAAAAGACAAAAAGAGAAAAGAAAAAAAAAAATCTAAAGGGAGTTACCCAACACTAAAATGGTAAGTGGTTGGACTTGTACAACTTAACTTACTTACTATATACTAGCAGCTCTTCTAACCAAATCACCTGACAAATAATGGCAGGAAATAGGTGATATTATTCATGTTTTTATAGGTGAAGTTTGAGACACAAGTTCTATAATTTCTCTATGACTATACAGCTAATAAATAGTATAGTAAGATTTGAACCATACTACAGAATGGTTTTCTGAGTTCTGCAATATTAGTATTACAAAAACATTTGTATTTGTAATGAGTCAATTCTAAAATGAAATATAGTACAGGCCAAGTTTTCTTTGTCAGTTTATGGTAATGATAATTGATCAATAAAACTACTACATAGCTTAAAAGCAACCTGAAACAATACATTATTACTGCCTAAGTAATTCAAAAGTTGGATGTGACAGCTAGAGAAAAATCACACTGGGACTAGCCTAGCAAAGGTACCACAATGCCACCTAAAAACCACTTCACACCCAAGAAAGTCCAAAACAGGAAGATAGGGGCTAAAAAGGGAAATAAAAGATATTTTTCTGCTTTCATCAAAATAGGCCTACACAGGTTAATTCTACCACTGAAAGTGCTGATTATCTAATCATACCACAGTGGTCAAGAAAAAAATGTATATATAATTCAGACGAATTCAGGTTTTGGTTTTTTGGTGGTGTTTTAGTAATTTTTATCTTTTATTAATACATGATTTA